TCCCGCCCGGTAATGAAACGCGGCGAAGATATAGATTTTCATCTTTGGTTCATTCTCATTCCGGCGATGGCTGCTTCATCATCGGGGTTCCTCCCAAAGAGACTTCATAAGCTCATTCAAGCGAAATTACTCCCCCGCTCAAGAGAAAAAGGCTCGCAGTGGATGCGCTTTCTCGGTGGCGGCGGCGGCGGCGGCGGCGGCGGCGGCGGTGGAGGCGGCGATGGCGGAGGCGATAGCGGAAAGAGCGACCACGGCGGTTGAAGGCAGAAGGGTCGAGGTTGAACGCAGGGCATCCAAAACTGTTAGATCTTCTGCGGAGGAAACTCAAAGCCCTGAAACATTATTTTGACTAAGATTCTAGGGAGTACTGAACTATAGAATAGTAATTGATTAGTGGCCTGCAGCACCTGAAAAGCTGCTGAACAAAACTAAAAATAATATCCCAAAAAAGTAGCACATACAGTGCTCTAGAATTAATAAAATACTTCCATACAATACTGCAATAAATTGCATATTGTATCAGAAACAATGTTTACGATTACTGCAACAACACAATATAGAATATATTCGATCCCACACGCCTCCAAGTGGAATTTGTGTCGGACAAAACGTGTTTGCGGCAGGATTTCTCGGAGTACTCCCGTTTCCCCTGCAAAAATGCATTTCACTGTATGCTCCATCAATCATTGTCTACCCTATTCTATCATTAACCATCATTCTGCTAAGTATCCAACGATCACACGGCGTCTAGGCGATAACCGACGAACCAAGTGAGAAGGGTCGTGGCTCCCTGAGAGTGTTATTGACAGGCCTGGAGAACTAGAGGGAGAATAGAAATGGTAAAGGAGGGGGGAGACGCCCGCCCAAGACCCTAGTTACGGATGATGCGGATATACGGAGTGGATGGAATGCCAGGCTGGGCCAGAGGTACCGCTTCGTAGATGCTGGCCCTGGAGGGGGGCGGGAACAAGTTTTAATTTTTAGAATGCTCCAGTAGGCAACGGTAATAAGACAATGAGGGTCGCTTTCTAAGACTGGGTCTAAAACGCCGTTTCAAACCGTAGTTCTGAAACCCCGGCCGCAGACACGACTTGCATTGGCTTACTAAGACGGAGTTTCAACGCCGTCTGGCGAGACCCCGTTTTCAAGCCATGGTTTCCTCAATCGGTCTGGCAACGCTGCCTTTGGGTATGCGCATTTCGCTCGTCCTCTGTTTTCCTCGCGGATTTTCCTTCAGTCGTATTGCAGTCGTCTTTGTGTGTAGTTGTTTTCTGGTGAGTGTTTAGTTCGTGGCGTCCATGTGCAGCAAAAGTAGTGAAGTGAAAGTGAAAGTGAAAAGAAAAGTGTTATAGCAAGGTAACGTTCCGACCGAATTTAATTATTCAATATTATCATTCTTTATTTTAATGTAATAGAATAAATACTAAAGCTGGCGTGTTTGTTTAGTTCAAAATGGCTCGCTTTGAAAAGAATGAGAGAGGGTTACTGGCAGAAATTTGCCAGAAGTACCCCATCATTGCTGATAAGGGCTACGGAGGGGATATTTTAAAGAAAAAGAAAGAAGCCTGGCAGAATATTAGCAGGGAATACAATAGTTCAACTCCAGGGAGAGCTCCTCGCACAGAGGAACAGATTCGTGGTGAGTAAAAAAGATTTGAGATAATTTTACAAATCTTGGAGCCGTGCGCATTAACCATAAAATAATAACAGCCGAAAACTACTGAATAAGTTCAAGTGAAGAAAGTATTAATGCAAAATTTATTCCATGCAGCATGCCTATTCTAGTACAGCAAATTTGTATTGCTGAAGCATTTCAGAAGTGTGCGCAAGTTTATGCAAGTATAGTTCATATTTAATACTTTGAAGTGATATCTTATGTACTTATATTTCTGTTTAGGTTTGTGGAAGCGCTTAAAAATTTCCACGAAGGAAAAAATAGATGCCATCAGGAGCGAGGCGAGGAAAACTGGTGGAGGACCTTCCTCAGTTTCAAACTTAGATTCAGTGGAGGAAATAGTATCAGGAATGCTGGGGTCATCAGTGGATCCATTACCAATGGATCATGACAATGATGCCGCAGCCTTTGAGGTACTATTTTGGTAAAGCTTTGTTGGTGACATGTTTTCTCTACATATAATACAACTTCCAAATTCTCATTCATGGTTTCTTTATTCATATGGTACAGGAAGGGCCTGTGGAAATAATTGAAGGGGTTGTGGAGGCTGTGCCAGAAACAGAAGTGGAGTATGTGCCTCCTCAAAATGAAAGGTCAGGCCGAGTCCCACAAAAGAAGTAAGTAAAATTGTTTTGATGGACAATTATGAAATATGAATGATTTAATGAATTGAATGATGAATTCAACACTTGAAGAAATAAGTAACTATAAATCTAAAGTTAATGACTGGCTTTCTTTTTTTTTTTTTTTTTTCAGTAAAAAATCCTCATATGATGAGCAGCTGCTCCAGATGGCACAACAAGAACACCTGCAGAAATTGTCTGACAATGCGAAAAGAATGCAGATGCAAGTCAGAGATCACGAGATGCAAATCAAAGAACATGAGATGAAAATGCAGATTTTGCAGTTGGAAAGAAAGATTAAATTAAAAATGTTGAGGAGTAAATGCAAATGTACACTAATAAAAAAGAAAAAAAAATAAATTTAATTTGCATTAACCATTGTAATTTTATGAAATGAACTGTGCCTTGGGCCTTCAACATCTACCTCCTTTCATATTCCAGAATCCTAATCACTGTGTTGTGTATACTCTGAAATTACAATCTTCTTTTAAATAGTAGACAGCACATGTAAATTATTCCCCACTGCTCTATAACTAGTTGTAAGGTTTATGCAATGTAATTGCCAGGAAAAGGAATGTTGAAAATTTCACTTAATGGAATTGATATTTGAAATGTGCACTGTGATTTCCACAACTTTGCCTCTGGCAGGTATCAGCTGTTGAGTTTCATTCAGATAGTCCCATCACTATGGTGATGTTTAAGCTCCCGATTGGATGAAACTCAACAGGCGATACTGCCAGCGGCAGAATTGCATAAATCGCAGTTTAGTAATGAACTGTGTTTTTTTCTCCTTTTGATATTTACATCAGTTGAAGATCTGTAATAAATATATTAATTCGTATCAGTGTGTATTAGACCTTCGAACAAGGTATGGAGATGGAGGGCTATTGTTCCGTATGTAAGATAGGTATGTACAAACATCAAGCACTGGGATGTGCATCATTTACTCTATTTCAAGATTTTATAATATATTAGAATTTAAGAAATCATGACTGTCCTGTTTACTTGAATACGACCTGAAAGAGGGCCATGAATATTCAGTCAAAATTAGTTATTTCATGTGAGTTTAAGATCTGATACTCTATATTAAAGTTGATACCTAATGACCAATTTATAGCCTGTATTCAAATTAATAGGATTTGAGAGGGAGGCCCTTTTTCCGCAAAGCAGGAAACGTGTCAATAGGCTTCAGTAGTAATGTTCTATGAATATCTCCAGTTTTGCATAATTTATTTGCAAGTGAGCAACATATTAAAGGGAATGACAGAAGTAAAAAGAGAATATCAACTCATTTTTTATTTCAAGTTTCACTTGCATGAAGGGAAATAATACCAACCCTAAAATATGCAGGTTAATTATACAATGAAATTTAGCATAACTATGAAATTACATTGAATGGGAATTTCAAACATGCAAAAGAAAACTTTGAAACTGGCATTATGAACATGATTTTACATAACAATCCAAGCCCAGCCTCTAACTTTCATGTAACATAGACATATGTAACCATGTTATACATACCTAGATATGTTATGAACTGCATATCTAAAGTATATGGATCAGAAATCACTTGCAAGACTAAAATTAGAGAATTTAATTTTTCCTGGCAAAAACGAACAATTTCAAGGATTGTAAAAGAAAAACTAAGTAGTCATCTGTTCAAGACTTTTTTTATTTAGGTAAAATGAGTTCTAATAAAATGTTCTCTCCACCTTAGACCTTCAGGACGATCAGCTTCGTCTGCCCGCCCACGTGCATCAGCGCCTCCCCCGCTGCCCTTGCTCGCCCTGCCCTGTCTGCACAAACCGCCCAAGCCCGCGCCACTCGTTTCCCCCTTTGGGTCAGCCCCCGCCCAGCTTCGATTCCCCGTCCCTCCTTCCCGCCCCCGCCCCGCCCCGCCCCACCTCGGCCTCGTCTCGTCCACCCGAGCCTCTAAGCGCCCCTTTCTTTTTGCACCACCGCATCGTTCCTTCGCCAACGCGCTCCCTCCAACCCCGCCCGCCCTGCCCCACACTCACCCCGCTTCCGCCCCACAACCCCGCTCCGCAGCTAGCCACCCGCTCCTGCAGCCCCCCGCTCGCCCCGCCCGCCCCGCCTATCGTCCCGCTGGTGTCCGTGCGAAGCCTTAAGACCTCTTCTGGAGCAGTGCACAATTGTTTAAGGCCGTTTCCGCAAGGCGCTTAGCAGAGATAGTCCTTTTTAAATCATCCCATTCCTTTCTGCAGATGGCGGCGTCTGAAGCTAGGGATGGTACGCCCGCCCCCCCCTCATCTCCGCACCATAGACTCGCAACAGACTTCCCTCTTTCATAACTGCCTCAGCGAAGTCTCTCGAACAAAGACGGCAAGATCGAACTCTATGACAGATTATACCGCTCTATTCATTACAAATATGGGAGTTTCACACATTAAATGTTTTATATATAATAATTATTAATATATTAGTATTAATAATGATAATTTTGTTTGGACTGTTCATTATTAATAAATATAAGTAATTATATATATTCTGCAAGATTATTGTACTTGTTTACGTTCCTTCCGTCGCTGGAATAAAACCCAACAACAATATTGTACACAAAGAAGGTTTAATCTCGTGGAAACAATTATACACTAAAATTACTTGTCCATTTTACAGAATGATTATTACACCCATAATTATTTTATCTTTACACACGCTCCTTCTCTTGATTGATTTATTTACACAGTTCACTTCTTTATACCATATTTATTTACACCAGTTCTTTTCTTCTGTTCAGCCCAGTCCGATGCTCTGGTCCACGGTTCACTGCACTTGACACCAATTCCCTCACAGACCACAATTCCCTGCGCAGACCACAATTCCTTCGACAGACCACACTTCACTGCGCCACACCAGGGGTCTTACTGCCACTGCTCCGTTTTTACCGCGTATGCTCACTTCCACAGCCTCAGCTTCCACTGCAGACTTCAAGACTGCTGACTGCTGTTTTCCCCACTGCACCACTGCTTACCGCGATGCACCCTTCACGAGCTCAGCTTCCACTGCAGACTTCCAGACTGCTGACTGCTGTTCAACCGCTGCACCACTCTTCATCGCAATGCACATTATCACAGCACAGCTTCCACTTCGGACACCACTGACGGCACTTGACTGCTTCTCTGCCTATTTCACTGACGCCTTACTACCCCACTGACTTTCTACTCACGCTTTACTAACTGACTCGCCCCGCGGCAGCGGCGCATTTATACCTGCCGGCGCTTTGTCTCCAGGCCACCAGCACATTTCTCGGCGTTTCCCGCGGCTCGCGGACTAGGTCCGGGGAACCGTCTAGTTCGGGGGAGGGAAAGGTGCGCACGGCAGATGACGGCAATTCGCGCCGCAACGATTCCGGCATGTGAATCGCAATATTGTAACAGATACTGTTATTTCCAGTGTTGTTAAAGGTCCGAATTACGAATCAGGATCCCATATAGGGCATTAAAGTCAAGGGATGTTGCAGATTTGTCTTCACACGCAAAAAATACTGACTGCATGTATTCTGGAGGAAATTCAACATGATCCCTGTTAATGTCTTTTATACTCATATATTCCTGACCTTTGAATTTATTTCGTTATCGTATTTTCTTACTTTTATAATATATTTCTTATACATCATAATCTATTGTCACATTATGTGTTCGTCGAGAGGGAAGGGGGGGCACTTAGTACTCTTTAACGTACGTGGTAATTTGAATATATTCGCCTAAAATGACTTATGATAAATTGAGAAAAATGTTCATTTACGTTAGAACATTTCAGTTTGAAGGGTAACATGAGAATGATACTAAATAAAAATAGTACATACTTTCAATGCAACTTTTCTGAAAACTACATTTTTTGCACATAAGTCATTTACCGAAAATCGCTTCAATTAGAGTCTTATAGCAGTACATAATTTTCCCCCATTATTGGGAACGCTAACGTAATATTATATTGCAATTTCTATCCTAGTAAGACCGCTCATCCACTCGGAAATTTCAAACTAATTCAAGCGAAGTGCAGTATTCACTGAAGAAGTCATGTTCTTACTTCTACAAAAGAAACAAACTGCTTGTAGAAACCACAAGCACATTGTAAGAAACAGGATACTGTCACACACGCTTGATTGTTTACATGAAATGAACGTCAATGTGCTTGATGATCCTATACCACCAATCAGTAACAAATCTTTTAAAGTAACAGGCCATTCCAGTACATAAACCGTATCAAAGCATAAAACTATGTTTCCAAAAATCTTATCGCGTTTTATCATTTGAATTGATAACTTGACACCAGTAGAATCGTTCTATACAATAATAATTATTTTAAGGCAAAAAACATTAAACAATTTGCAACAGTCAAAACTTGCATTCAGCGAAGAAATATCACTGCCCGTTGAGGAAATCAGAAACTCTACCCTTCTCTTTTACATACACATATTTGAATTATGAATAGAAGATCATCAAAGCGTTGCAGACAATATTTGAAAAAAACTATCGCTCCAGGAGATATGGGAACGTAATTTGCATTAGGCAAACGAACTACGACCCGCGACAAAAACGTGCGATATCCGAAGCTCTTATTTTTCATACGGCGGAATTAGTTTCTTACAGGCGGGCCTGGCCCAAAATTTGGGCTCACTGGTGAGAAGAGCCGGCACACACAAGTTACTTATGCAAATGAAACATTCGGAGAAGGGTAACAATCTAACGGCAACTTCAACGACACATTGTAAAAAAAAAACCTTCAAACGCATATTATGAAGCAAAGTATATAATTTTATATTCGCAGAAAAATTTCGTAGTTTCGGAAAAAACATTCAACTGTCGCAAACAGAATAGAAATACAAGAAAAGTAGAGATACAGGAAAACCCTCTGTACGCTTCTTGCGGGACTTCCGATGATGACATCACCTTTTCAGTATTAACTCTGATTACAATACTTCGCTTGGCAGCCACCACAGCAATAATACTATATAATACTGGCGTATATCCGAACCGCCGACGGAATAAGTAGCGGAGAAGGCACATTAGCACTTATCCACTGTTGTTACAGAGTTTGGCCAACCTTATCTCAATTTTGCAACCCAAAAACGAATTTTTTAGGAAACCCTGTGCGTCCCTAAATGTGACACCTTCGCTGTTATTGCTTCTCCTCTCTGCCTCTTGCACGGCGGTCAGTGCCCTGATACCCTCCTCCTCCTTGCCGTGCGCCCCTCCTGCCACCGCCGCACTGCCGATGCTAATTGGACAACGCATAGGCGCTCAATTAATGCAACCACCCGCGTGCACGTACGCCGGCAGCGCGGCATGATTATGGACATTGCGCTGCGATCGCCCACGGACGCCCAGCTCGGATTTCGCAAGCTGGAACCGCACTCCCCGCACAGGTGTCAGCGACGCCGTCCCCGCCTCTTCTCGCCCCGCCACTCTCTCCGAC